AGAGGGCAGTGTCACTGGCCCTCATATGTGGGATCCGAACCAGGGCCCTCTGGTGTCCCAAGCCAGTTCTTAACCATCGCGCCACTCGGCCGGCCCTGCCTGGGTAATTTTAATCTGTGCCCTGTGGTGGTGAATGGGCTGTCCGGTCCCTGAGCTGTGTAGCTATGACAATAGCTTCATTTATTGAGTTCTTTAATAACAGGTATAACTCACACTTAATAGGGTGTGTACTACCTGTTAGCCACTTCTTTGTACTAGGTTCTGTACATGTACATCGTATGACCACATCAGATTCTCACAAGGAGGTTAAGTCAGCGTTTTCACAAAATTGGTACTCTCTAACTCCAATAAGAACCAGATTTGGGGATTCAAGTTCTAAGTTCAAAACCTTTGCTGTTTTCTCAGTGAAAACTCCTGAAAGTGTCTAATATAGAACTGATGGTGTATATGATGAGTTGTAATCTGATGTTTTTATAAAAAGTTAAATGTTTTATTAACATATAAAATATTTGACACGAAGGCTTTGTTCTTTCTTTGAATGAAGGGTTTCCCAATATGTAGCATGCAGACCTCACATGGTGTCCTAGATGAAATCATTGATATAAAAACATTTAAAAATATGCTTTTCATACTGTGCTACAGAAAAATATAACTAGATTACTTAAGCTATTTAGGACAGTTTATGGGGAGGCAGAAAAGTACTTATGGCACAATCCTCATGGCAAAATGCCACAACATCCCCTGCAAACAAGCTTGTCTTTTCAAAGTTATTCAGAGGTGGGGAGGGAGCAGCTGCAAATCTTGCTGTCTCTTACGAAATCCTTCATTGGCCTGAGAGTCACCAGATCTCTCTCCGAAGCCCCCAACTGCCAGATTTCAGCCATATATCCCTATTAACTATACACAATGACAGCAACTTACATCTGAGTCCCCATTTGTATGTTCACACCCCCAAAAACCAGTTGAAAAAACCCTACTCAGAATCCACCCTGTTTAAGGAATGGCACAGTAGTCTAAAGTTATTTCTCCCTCTGAACAGAGGTTTAAAAAGAACCCCTGGCCCCTAAGGACTGAAAATCTATTTGTTCAAATAAAAAGCAAGTATAAATGTAGGGTATCCAAGTTTGCTGCAAAATATATGAGCAGTCCCTAGGCCATAGAGCTGAGTGAGGATTAGAACCTATGTAGAAGAGGGAAAGGAACCTTGAGTACTTGCTGAAGCAAAATTACCTGGGTTCCACCTTCTCTTGTCTCCTTGAAGGCTGTGGCTTGACATAGACATGGCTTTCAAGCCTGGCCCTGACACAGTGATGGTGGGAAAGGTCTCTACATCCTTTGGGACTGTTTGCCCATTTCTGAAATAAGAGGAACAGTATTTATACTAAATGATGGCTCCGATGAATGAGCTGCCATACTAATACAGTGTTTGCCATAGGGTATGTCACTCTGGTAAGGCAGACAGACACATAAACAAGAACAGTTGAAGTGCAAAGGAGGGGCACAGGGAAGGGACCTGGAAAAACAACTGAGGGGAATGGCCATGAAGCAGGAGGAAAACAGGAGACTCATGAAATTGGTCAGCTGGATTTCCCAAATTTGATGATCGCTAAGTTCACATATTTGATTCTGTTGATAAAAGGCTGAGGAACATTTATTCCTCACATTTAAAACTAACTGGGTTGGCAGCATTATTTATTCAAAAGAAATGTACTGAGGCCTAGTCTGTTCATCAGCCCCTTTGTATATAAGAAGACTAGTGAATTAGCCAGTGCAGCCCTTATGTGAGGGCAGATCTGAGGAAGTAGCAGTGACCAAGAGTCATTATAAAAGGCAATACACTGGCACTAGATGCTTCTGGGAAAAGTGGGGTAAAGGGCACAAGTTCCCTGTGCCAGGGATTCCCAAGACCAGCCTTAGGCTTAATCTGCTGGAAGGACTCACAGGACTCAAGCTGTTATACTAAAGGTTTGGTTTACTATAGTGAAAGGATACAGATTAGAATCAGCAATGAGAAGAGGCACATGGCATGACATCCAGGAGAAACCAGGTACAAGATTTATTTCCTAGGTGTCCCTTCCCAGTAGAGTTGCATGGAGACAGGTTTTCATATTCTCCCAGCAATGATGTGACAACAAATGTGAGGTGTTGCCAACGAGGGAAGCTCATCTGAACCTTGGTGTCCACAGTTGTTGTGGTGAGTCAGTCACAGGCATGCAGAGCTCGTGTGAAAGATCCCAGCTACTCAGATCCCATCTCTCCAGAGCAAAATCAGATATTCATAAATCATATTGTTACAATAAACCTACCTGGTCTTACTGGTACAGTGTGGCTCAGAAGTCTCAAGCGTGCAAAACGAGCAGACAAAATGTTCCAGATGTTCAGAGGTTATCACTTAGGAGCCAGCCAGGGGCCAGTCCTGGAGACAGACTTTTCTTTGGAATGTACGGTGCTTGAGCAGCTCAGGCCTGCTGAGTTAACCTTATCCTGTAACTCCCACCTCCACCTCCCGCAACAGAATGGAAGTTTGCAAAAAGAATTCCTCTGATCTCATTTATAATCTGTTATTTCTAGTAGACAAAGTGCTGGTTTAATAATAGTGTATGGAAGAACAAAATAGATTTTTTTCTACTTTAAGTTCTCAACTGGGGCCCCATAACAAAAGACAGATTAACAAGAGAAAACCATACAAATTTATTTAGTAAGTTTTATATGATCCAAAGAAGTGGTTAAACCTGAGCATTGTTGTGCTAGATTTGATGAAGAGTGGACAGCCATGGGAAAATGTGATAGGACAAAAAAGGGTATGAGCTAAATGCAAACTAGGGGAACAGCGAGGCCTGTTCGTTCAAATTCCTGTATGTATCTTGTGTCTTCAGAGATAAGGATGCCCCTTTCCTTTGGGTACAGGGA